GCTTCACGCTCAAAGTCTAGGGCTCTGAGCTCTACAAAGCTTATAAAGCGCAGTGAAAGGCGGCTGAGGAGATTACAGCTGACGGACCGTATGAGGGTTCCCAGTTGCGGGATACGTGTAGACTCCGACACTAAGAAATGGAAGACACTGGCACCTCTTGTTTAGGATATACAGCTTCAGGGTAAGCAGGGGTCTTCAGGTTTCGGCCCACCGCAGCACCAAGCAGTATCAAGCATCACGTTGAGGACTTGCTGGTGTTCCATGTCGGCTTCTGCTTTCAGAAAAACGTAGCAGAAGTAGATACCGGGCCTGGTGCTAGTGCTTGCTTGGCTCGTGCTTTGAACTAAAATTAAAGCCTCAGATGCACAGATTAGGGTTACGGTTTAGGCGTAGTCGTACATGCCATAATTATGAGTGCAACAAGCTGCTGCTTCGCGTCTTAGATCCCGAAACCGTGTCAAAGCCCTCAGAAACGAGGAGCGTCCAACTCTTCAGACCCGAAAGTCCCAAGATACTAATTGAAGCTCATACGAGCTGTCCGAAGTCCAGCATCCGTAAGAAAGCCTCTTCTTGGATAGGGTCCTACGTTCGAGTCCAGTCTTTCCTGAAACTCCAGCATTGTGCTCCTTTCCTCTCCGGCCTCCACCATACCATCTGCCTCCTTGTCTCCCTCCCTGAGGGTCGTGGAGGCTGAAGGTTGGGCATGTGGGGGCTTGGCCTCAAGGTTTTGGCATGCCTGAGCCCAAAAGCCCGAATGCAAGACCCTCTACCCTCAATCATAGCATGTTCAACCAAGAAGGGCATGTTTTCTTACCGTTGGCTAGTAGGGAATGGAAGACTGGTAGCAATATAATTGTACCCCATTCCTCCATTCCCTACCAACCAAAGGTAAGTTTTGGGAACGAAGGTTTCTAAGGGTCAGTGGCCCACTCGAGACTTTCCGATCTGCTCGGTCTCAGGTTTAGAGTGTCGTGCCTCTGTTGATGATATAAATCCTGCAGTACCTTAAGGATCCGAAACTATGGGAATTATGGTATATTCCTTATTATGGGTCATGCAGGATTTATATCATCAACCGTTGGGGCTTCAGGGTTTGGGAAGTTGAGGGTTCAGATTGGTTAGGATTGAAGGCTCAGGGCTTAGGGATTAGGGTTTAGGGTTTAAGGTTTTGGGTTTAGGGTTTAGGGATTTGTTGGGGTTGATTCACGATTTAGGGTTTAGGGAAGAGGGTTTGGAGCTTGGGCTCCGGGTTTAGGGCTCAGGTTCCTACTATCCGGGCTTAAGGCTCTGGGGAGTGGGCGAAGAGAGGCTTGCTCTGCGCGGCTAGCCGACATCAAGAGTGCCTAGTTAGGGTTGAGGGTTTGAGGTTCCGGGTTGTGGCATTAAAGCCTCAGCCAGTGATTGAAATCGGGTTTTAGTCGTGCCGGAGAAACCTCAACCCTAAACTCTAAACCCTAAACTCAAGACCTCGAAGGCTGGAACACTTATGAGCTGTGGAATGTCTGGGGTTGCCACTCTTCTGTCGGCTTGTTGTCCCCTGCCGTGGCCCTGAGATGCAAATTGCTGTCTCAAGTCAACTGGTTTCTATTTGGGTGGTTATCAAAATTATGGCCCCTTTTTGGGTACCCTAAATATTAGATGCCCTATTATACTAGGGACCCATAAAGGGACCCTAATTTTGACAACCACCCATTTGGCGGTGTGAGCTTAGGCTTCAGGGTGGAGGGCTTGAGGTTCAGGTTCAGACGCTGGGCCCTACTTAAAGGGTCATGGGACTTAGTAACTAGGGTTCCTTAAAGGGGTCCTTAAGGGGATCTATAGGGGTTCCTTAAAGGGATCTATAGGGTGTAGGGTTTAGGGTCTACTTAAAGGGTCATGGGACTTAGTAACTAGGGTTATAATTAGGGTAACTACACTTATAATTACTTATAACCCCAATTAGGGTACTTATAACCCTACTTACTAAGTCCCATGATCCTCCAAGCAGGTTGAGGATCATCTACGCCCAAACTCCGTTGACTCGCCAGACCACACAGGGATTTGGTCGAACAGAACATGGCTTAAGCTTTGAGCATCGATCACCACAACGCCCCAGAAAGAAAACGACGTCTGCTAAACCGGTTCCTGAATACCCCGTTTTGGAGGACCGTAGGAACCTAGATCGAAGCATATTCTCCAGGGGTCTAAGCCCCGAACAAACGCAGCACTACACTAGTAAATCTTTTCAGTGCGTTGCTCTATGTGACGATAAAGCACAGTCATACCGATGATGCAGCAGCCATCCTGATCACTGTCACTGCACTGCATATGAGCTCACATACACTTTCACATATGCACCTGTACATGCATAAGTGCTCACATACACGCAGACACACACACACACACACACACCACAAACACACCTGCATACAGACACATGCACACATACACACATGCATACATGTTTGCATGCAGACATACATGCGTACATGCATGCAGACATGAAGACAGGCAGGCATGCCAGGCATGCATACATACAGACAGGCAGACCGAGAGACTCACATACGTACGTACTCGTCCAGACCCATGCATGCACAACAGACGGTGGCACACATACACACTTAAGTGCATGCATGCATGCAGAGAGACAAACAGACAGCCAGGCAGGCATGCATGCATGCATATCCGCCTAAGTGCATACGTGTATACATGCATACATGCGTTCAGGCATGCATACAGGTAGGCATGCAGGCAGGCAGGCACGCCGGCATGCATTGTAGGACATATAATGAAGCTGGGCTTGTGCCTGAGATAGACAGACAAACAAACAAGACATTTTGATACATTTCGACTTTGAATAAACGGATGTGTCTGTGTGTGCGCGCGCCCATGTCAATTGCTCGCTTGAATTAATACTGCCCTGGCAGCTGTTGCTTGGGCTGGAGCTGGCCGAACTTTCCGGCGATCCACGGATGAGCCATCACCTTTTAGGGTATGAGGAAGGAGAATAACGGTCCCGAGGATGAACATGAGGATGAGGGTGCTTGCAAAAACTCCCGCATTCCTGTACGACCAGGGCAGGAACTTTTGAACTCACAACTTGTAGCCAACCTCTGAGCAGCAATTTCGCACCCACGCAACGGTGGGGCGCATGGTAGTTGCTCTGACTGACTTCACTAGACTCATGAAGAGGCTCTACGCATGATACCGACTGTCAACTGTTGGTCTTCATTCAACCCCTGAACTTCCAGTAGGCCCCGTGGGGCACAGAAATTTGAGCCCTGAAACTTCCAGCCCTCAAAATTAGGACAGAGGTTTTTAGATTGGAGAAACTATGCCCTTGCCTCAGACGAGCTCATGCGAGTCTTCTCGCTCTTGTCCAGCATCTTTCTGATGTATTCCTGCGTTGGCTCGTGATGCAGATGAACCTAGAAGCCAAATACCAGACGACGCACATGCCCGGAAACCCCACTGCAAGCACAACCCAGCCCCCGAAAGACTTCCAAATCCAAAACCCCTAAACCCAAAACCACTTCTAGCTTCGACTTCAGAGGCATGACGTCCGGTAAAGGGTTGAAGGCTCTGCACACGAGAAGTCTGACCACCACCTTATTGCCCACGTAACAAATTCACGAATTTCCCTAAACCCTAACCCCTAACCCCGTCTTCTCTCCCCACCTCGCAGACCGGGTGGACGCGCTTCGGGATTCGCACCTCCTTGTTCCTGGCAAGCGTTCGCTTCGCGGCGGAAGTCAGTGCTGAGTCAGGAAGCTCAGCCCCTGAGCGCATACTAAAGGGGCCTGAAAATTAGACTAAGGTTCCTTTAAAAGGGTAATCGAGTGCTATAACAGAGGGGCAACGCATACTATAGGGGCCTTAAAGGTTCCTTTAACGGGTTCCTTTAAAGGGTAATGGAGTTCTATAATATATGTAGGGGCCTAAAAGGTTCCTTTAAAGGGTTCCTTTAAAAGGGTGATGGAGTTTCATAATATATGCAGGGGCCTGAATAGTTAAAATAGGGTTCCCTCTTAAGGCTTCCTTTAAAGGGGTCAAAAAGGGATCTATAGTGGGGCCTTCATAATTAGAATAGGGGTTTTGGGGCCGCGGCCCATTCTACTATGACTATATTAAGGAACCCCCAAACTAGCATTGGTAATTATTTAAGCCCCCTAAATTACAGCTTAAAGCAAGAGCCTTCGAAGCTTCAGACCTGACAGCCTGATGCTCCTAACCCTTTCCCCTCAAACCCCAAACCCAAAAACCCGCAGCCCGCAACCCCAACTCTCTTGCAGAAACTGCAAGGCGCGGAATGATGTGTTCAGTTAAAAACTCTGAATCTGCAGTCTGGAGTTCTCCCCATCAAGCTATGGGGTTGAAGGTTCACGTGTTGAGGGTTTGGGACTCCCATACATTTGGGTGGTTGTCAAAATTATGGTCCCTTTTTGGGTCCTGAATATAACACGGCACCTATGATTTAGGGTACCCAAAAAGGGACCTTAATTTCGACAACTACCCTCATACATTTAGAAAGACTCCCAGTCGGGAGAAACATGCCCACCCGCGCCACCAGCACCGCTGCTGCCGCCACCAGAATCACGGATCGCAGTGAAAAGCTCTTACGTGGTGAATGATTTGGCCTGTAGTCCCACCCTCAACTTGAATTGTCGTTGCTGTTCGCTTCATCTTGTTCTGCGTTTTGCCCTGTAGCTACATTTAATTTGCCTGGTCTACTTCTGCCCACTCACTACTCACAACCTGTGACTGTGCAACCTCTGACTGACACGCAGTCTCTTTGACTCTTCTTACTATTTTGCTCCTGTTTCGCTGTCGCTCTTGATGTTGCTATTGCCTGTGCTGTTGGCGGAAGCTGGCCCTGATGCCCTACACTGACACTGATGATGGTGCTGCTGCCGTTGCTAGTGCGGTGGGCCAGCATGGCGGCCTCTGACTGTCGCTGTTGCTGATGTGATTACTTGTGATGCTGCTGTTTCGTGACATTGTCGTCCACATTGCTTGTTGCTTCAGCGGTTGCAGTCATCGTTGTCGTCGCCGTCCTCGCTAACACGTTGTCGTTCTGACTAGCTCAACTTGCGTACTGATTTACATCATGCTCCTCACCCCCATCTTAAACCGTATCACGTCCATGTCGAGCAACAGCACTAAACCACGATACAGCAATTGCATCCCGAGCCTGACATCGTTCTCGTCTCTGAAAGGGAAACGGCCTTAGACAGCAGACAGAGGCTCACCAGAACCTGCAAAGCCCAAACGACATGACCTGGCGGAGCCATGAGCAAACCTAATCACGAAACACTGAACATGAGGATGTCCGTGGTCAAGCATCGTGATAAACAATCCGAAACCTTGCAAGCCCAATCCCGAAAACCTCACCCCAAAACCTTTCGCCAAACCAGAACGCGGAGCCATAAGTCAGGGGCCTTCAGAATTTGGCCTAGTGTTTTGGGTGTGTTGCATGTGAAAGATACAATACGGATCCCTAAAGGTAAGTCTGGCTAAATACCCCAGGCCCTAGGCTTCTATATTAACCCTTCCCGAAAGACGCCCAACGCCGGCAAGTTACCACTCACAAGGCCGTACATGATGACGCCCATCGCCCACACGTCTACCTTGGCAACCGTCTCTGGGCTAGATTCATCCGCAAGCGCATGACGACTCTTGGGTGCTTGCGGAGGGTGCGGGCTTCAGAGCTTCTGTTCTGCAAGACTTGCGGTCCTGCTTCAATGTTCGTTGAACTACAGCCGGCCCAGGCACGTGCTTAGGGCTTTGATGGGGAGGTCGGCAAGGCGTGGCTTAACTGTTCATCGCTCAGGGGGTGAGGCTTGAGAGGATCGGAGGCTTCAATTGGACCTCGGGCGTACGGGCATGCAAAGCCAAGCCCCGGGCAAAAGAGGCGTGCGATCAGGGCTTCGGGTTTAGGGTTTAGGGTTTTCGCGCGACCCAAGGAACTTCTCTCAAAACGCTAAAGCCCGAAAGCATGAAAAAGCAGATCAAAGCCCCCAAGCATTCAAAGCCCCAAGATGCTGAGCTCCAAAAGCAGCAGGTAGCCGGGCCCTGGACCCATGAAGCCCCAACATCCCCCCCCTCGAAAAACAAAAACGAAACCAGAAGAACCCCAAAAGCGCACCCCCAAGCCCGCCCCCCCTCCCTCCCGAAATGCTCCCAAACTGAGGCGGCCGCCTTCTGGCCGTACTCACGGTCGAAGAACTCGGGAGGCCAAAAGATCTTTGTCCCGACCTGGACCATTCGACTGTAGAGATGTTACGGAGGGCTTGTAGACATATAGTATAAGGCTGCTATATGGGTACCTTCGGGGTTTCGGATTGAGGAAGGAGTCGCTTGTTGTGTTTCAGGATCATACGATTTGAGGTTGATGCCATTACTGACTGTTTAGAGCTTGAGGTTCAGGGTTTCCTATCAGCCCCAAAGTGGGCGTCGAGGGTTAAGGGGCGTTGGGGTTCATATGGGGGGGGCCAATGCCTCTAGGACAACTCGGCCCACGACCCATCTCGACTGGGTGAGCCGACAAGTAGCTCCGACTGTAGACCCCCCGAGGTTCATGATCCACTGCCCCTGCTCAATAAGACACAGCCCGGCTCCGCCAACTCTAAGACGGGTCACACGCTCTCCCGAACTTGAGAGACTGTCTTCAGACTTACCTTTGGTTAGTAGGGAATGGAGGAATGGGGTACTATTTTAAGTACTATTACTACCATTCTTCCATTCTTCCATTCCCTACAAAGCAAAGGTAAGCAGAGAATGGATACGCGGACCAAAAGTCGCGAATTGGGAGTTGGGAGTTACGGGATGTGGCTGCAGCCTGCGAGTAAGTAGGGCTGCAAAGAAAGGGAGATCCTACCCTCCCGCAGCAATCCTTCGTGCCTCTAGCTACAGAAGCAGGCTCCTACACACAAGGGCCAAGGAAAAAAGACGTCCAACACCCACCCCCCCGTGTCACCTTCATTCAAAAAGCACTGAGGCCAGGCACCCCCGAAGAAAGGCGGTCTGCCGGCTTGCAGTTGCAGGCCTCGGGTCATCATTCATCGGGTCTACGCAAGTCTACTCTTCGGGCTTCTCAAAAGTCGAAGCACCAAATCCGAAATCCGTAGCCCCTAAGCCCAAACCCGGAAACCCTCAACGCTAAACCCCGAAATCCTAACCCTAACCGGGCAACCCCAAATGCTAAACCCTGGAACCCATATCCTAAATCTTAATTCAAGGGCCTGGACATGCTGCTGACTCTCAGCCCCCGCATGCCAGAAAACGTAAACCCACAACCCAGGGTTTGGGCTTGGGATTTCGGGTTCATCATAGGTTGCCCAAGCCTACCCCTGGACCCTACCCCGCAATCTTGACTAAATGCCTATTAAATGAGCTTTATATGGCGGCCCACCATCTACCTTGGTGCCGTGAAGCTGCCCACTGTGAGTTGTGGGGGTGGGGCGGGGTGGGGCGCGGCGCGGGGCAGCGCGGGGCGGGCGGGGCGGGTGGGGTGGGCGGGGCGGGGGGTGGTACACGTAGAGCGAGCAACCCCGCTTATCACCACCTCCTCATGTAATGCTCATTTAACGCTCATTTAATGCTCATTTAACGCTCATTTAACGCTCATTTAATGCTCATTTAATGCTCTGATGCGGGGTTGGTTCTTGCAAACGCAACTAGAGCTGGTTTGGGGTGGGCTGGGGTGGGGGGTGGGGTGGGGGGTGGGGCGGGGGGTGGTGGGATGTGGGATGGGGTGGGGGGTGGTGCAGCGCAGGCAGGGCAGCAAAAGCAGGGAAGTGCAGAGGGTGGCAGGGGGGCAGGGCAGGCAGGGCAGGGGGGGGAGGGCAGACATCGTCTCTCACTAGTGTTCGTTTATTGCTCACTTATTGCTCCCATAATGCTCACATAATACATTTTTAGTGCCATTTTAACGATCATTTATCGCTCAATTCTTGAGGAGAGCCGGGGTTGGTCCCCGGGGTTAGTGTGAGCTACCAATGAGTTCAGGGTTTGGGATTGAGGGATATTGATGGCTTTAAATCATCTTTCGATCGGAGTCCTAGTGAATGCTCACTTGAATCAGCAGCATTCGGGGGCGATGAATCGCTACTTGCAGACTTGATCGACTGTAAAGGGACACACGCTAGGCCGGCATCTCTTTCTAGGGCATCCCCGTGCTCATGGTTGCGTATCTCATCCTCGAGAACATGCCCAACTTGAAAGCCCTGAACCGTTCAGAGCTGAGCAGTGACGGCCTTTATGCTAGGATGCCTGCTAGAATCCCTTTCAGTATAGGGGCCTGAAGCATCTAGTACGACTTTCCCGGCGGTGTCCCATTTTGCTGCTTAGGGCTCAGGGCTTGGGGTTCGGGCCGTGCCGAAGTCCGTGAGTACAATCTTGCACTGGCCGTCGGTCATGTTCTGGCCCGGGCGCTCTTTGAGAGCTTCGCTAGGGCTCGCTTTAGGGTTTAAGGTTTAGGGTTTAGGTAGAACTATGCGGGCTACTTTTAGGGGTCGAGGCTTCAGGGAGTTTAAGTTTAAAGTCACCAGGGCAAAGACTCTCCAGTCTTGCAGGCATACGGAAGCCCATGAAAAGGATGCACCCCAAGCCTGAAGCCCTGAACCCCGGACCCAAAACCCCCAAACCCGGGGGGAGTTGGATAAATTCTGATCCATAAAACTTTAGGACTGTGACAGAAGAGCTGGAGCAGGGTCGGAGTATTTGCTGCTTCGCTCAAGAGACGAAACGGGCGAAATACTTTCAACGCGAACCTAGGGCATTTAATCTAACAGCAGAGTATGAGAACCCGCACTTGACTTTTAAAGTGAGTTTTGTGTGAGGGGCGAGCTTGTGATTTGGTGTATGCGGGCGACATTGCAGGCCCCAACTTCGTGGTCTCATCCAGGGATTGGAGTTCAGAGTTCGGGATAGACGCCCAGAGTCCGTGCTGGGCACCGAAAGAGAGCGTACTTCAAGTTACAGAGGTCAACCGTGTAAGTTGAACCCTGGTTTCAATAGAACCCAGATCTGGGAGCGGAGATTCGAAGTTAGCATTCGGGGCTGTGTCATATTATCTTCGGCTGCAGCTCATTACCTCGATCGTGGTTTTGAGTTTACCGATGGGCCTCGAAGCACCGAAGACAAAACTCCTCCACGCACGCAAACTCCCGAGCTCCGAAACCTGCAAGCCCTTCAGAGCGCCTTTCTGTCCATCAGGTAGTTATCTCCTTTGACGTCCCGATGGACCACGTTCCTGTCACACCGGATCCAGGGCTCCAACGAAGAAGGCTGCAAAGTCGAGGTTCACAAAGTCACAACCCTACGAGACGCTTGATACGAACATCCAGCGGCGCTGGGCGATTGTTTGTCATGTTCAGGGCTAGTGGTGGGGTAGAGGGAAGCAAAACTCAGCAGAGCAGTGCGTACGTCCCTTATCACCGTAACCACCACTGGGGAAGAAGTAGGAGTAGTAAGCCCCACAGTCGTACTCCCGCCACCACCACCACCACCACCACCACCCCACGACCACGACTGCGACCACGAGCGACGACGAGTGCTCCTGCTAGTCTTGATGCTGCTGCAATATGGCGAACAGCAATGCTTTAGCAGGAGCAGAAGTAGTCGCATATTCTGAAGGTAGCCGGGATCACAAAGCTGACATCACAAACAACGAGCATGTACCAGAACCACGTGACCTTCGACATCACCTACCAACATGACACGATTTGAACCCTTGTCGACGGGTTACCGAGCACACAAGCCACTGACGTGACGGCCGCCTGTTGTGCAAGTAGCTAATGGAAGATGCCATTTGGTACCTGCCCGGTTCGGGCTTGGTGGCAATCAGAAGCCGTTAAGAAACAATTGACATGGATCGTGTCGTCTCTGGAAGCTCTTACCCTCAGTACCAACGCCTCAAAACGAAAAGGCTTCGGGCCTAAACACCACCTGTTAAGCCCGAAAGATCATGGCTCGGCGCCCCCTCGAGCTGAAGGCTCACGCGACGTGCACCACGTCCAGGCAGTTTATCTGCCCCCGCTCCTGGCAAGCTGCGCTAGAGGACATGAGGGCTCCTCTACAACGTAGTCTTTGAGGCTCGAGTCACTTACTATGACACCAGTGGTTTGGGGACCGCAACTACAGTAGAACCACCCCTTCCTGCTTTCAAGGTTCGCCCGGAGCCGACAACAGCAAGACTGAAGAGAACAGGCATGTGGAACCAGCTGTGGCAATACGCCAAGTAAGCTATGCAGCTTTCAGAACAAAACCTCCAACTGCCTTCCCCTGGAACATAAACGAAAAGGACTCCAAAGGATCCTACACTCTAAACCCTAAACCTTATAACTAGTACCCTCTACCCTATATTACTATAGTACCCTATAACCTGTAGTACCCTAAACCCTGTAGTACCCTAAACCCTATAGCACCCTAGACCCTGTAGCACCCTAAACCCTCTAGTACCCTGATAGAAGCCCCTGAAACCAGGCCAGCCTTGAGGTGACGTTGCAGCCCCTCCACCAAGTCCCCGCCATCCAACTTGTCCATGACGATGCACACGAAGCACCTCTCACGGCCGAGCAGGTAACTTTTTTGAGGAATCATGGCACTTTCAATGTATTTTTAATTGAATTTCATAAAGAACTAACCATATTATTATTATCATTAGATATGAACGAAAATAACATAAACGGCATGGTGTTAAGGGTCTGAAGATGAGGGGTTCAGTGGGGTGAGGGTCCTTAGAGTTTAGAGGGTTGGGGTCTAGGATCTAGGGTCGAGGTTTCAGGACAAGTCGGTTTAGGTGTTCGCGTTGACGATCATGTATCGGGCTCACTTGTGGGGGTCGTCTCGCTCGAGCTGAGAGGTTGGGGTTTGGAGGATCCTACCACTGAATGCCTATGATTTGGTTCGGTTTTTCGATGTTTTTTTGCTTATCACCCCTGGCCTCATCAATGATCCACTGCTGCCCTGTTTATATGGTCGTCGTGATTACGAAAATCGCAACATTGCAGAATGCATGACATGAAGAATCAAGACGATGCTACTCTAGACGAGAGTAGACTCGTCTGCGAACCGTAGTGTCGTGACAAGAATGCTGCAACCCATGTTTCTTCATTTTCACCCTGCCTCTCGTAGTAGACGCCATGAAACTTGACAATGTTGGGATGGTCCTGAGCAATCGGAGCTTGATAGCGTCACAAGTCTGAACCCTACTCACGACCTAAACCTTAAACCCTGAAACCACCGGACTAAGCGATGAAGCTTTCACTCTAAAGCCCTGACGCATTAGCCAGTGTGCCTAAATCGGATAGCGTGGATTCGGCCATGGGTTAGTGTTTCAGTTTACGGGTTCAAGGTTGCGGAGGTTTGAGTTCGATTTCAGGCCTTCCCGTTCAGGCCGTGGGGGTTTCAGGGTTGGAGGAGTGAGGCAACCCCCAACATACCAGTAGCTGTCCTCACAACCTGAAGGCGGGGTGTCGGTAAAATCAACACCCCAAGCCCTCGAAGCCCAAACCGAACTTCATCAAAACCGCTGCATACACCTCGAACCATCGATCATCCTGATCCCGCCCTTGGGTACCTTTAAGGGCTCCTCTCAATTCCCGCAGCCCTTAAGACCCTGAAAGGGACCCTGTAACCCTTAACAGAACACTTGAAGTTTCAGGGATCCCTTAAGGGAGCCGCTCAAAAGGAGGCTCAAAGCCCTCCTAAGTGCCCAGCCATGCTCGCCAGCATGTCGGCCTCCTTCTTGATGGCCTCCACCGGCGTCTCCACCTGCCACACGTAGGGTTTTAGGGGGTTTTAGGGGGTTTAGAGGGTTTAGGGGGATTTAGGGTTTAAGGGTTTAGGGTCCCATCAATCTATGTAGGGGCTTGCTACTGCACAAGTTCCCGTAGAATCAGAACATAGAGCCCTGAAAATCGAAACAGTTCAGAACACGAACGCCAAGTGCAACTCTTGAAGCCACCACGGAGCCTTGTCAACCATCTTCACCTCGGAGTGTAAGAGCGTAGGAGTTTAAGAGATTGGGGTTTGAGCAGCGTTTCGGTTTAAGTTTAGGGTTTGGATTTTGGGGTTGAGTGGGTGAGGGTGGGGCTTGGAGGTGTCGAGCCTCAGCTGCAGGGAATACTTCAGGCTTCAGGCTCGGGACATCAAGGCTATGCAAGTGGTCCTTTACAGCTTTCCGCTTTAGATTTTCACCTTTTCACCAGGCCTGGTAAACTGCTGGCGTTGCAGTGACTTTTATAGCATCATCAGCATCATGACCATCCTTAGCATCACATGTTGCTGCTTCTGCTCCTAAACACGTTTCCACGCTAACCACCGGACGGAAAAAATCAGAAATCAATGGAAAATCGCCTGTGCACCTGCTGTTGCTTGGAGGGTCGGGGGACTTAGTAAATGGTTAATAAGTAGACTTATAAGTACCCTAGATGGGATCCTAATTGGGGTTATGGTACTTACAAGTCTCTAAATTACTAGTTACTAAGTCCTCCGACCCTCCAAGTGCTGGCTAGGAAGCCTTCTGACGCATGTGGTTGAGGTGTGTTTGGAACATGCAAAGCACCCGCACTTTCCCTATTCTGCGTGAGGCCCAGCTTGTCCGTTGTAAGAACGACAACTTCAATTTATCTCTGGCGATATCGTAAAGAGTGCATAAAGGCATGAAGATGACTACTTTGCATGCGCTCATGCTACACAGAACATCCCTCAAGGACAGGCGTTTGTTTGAGCTAGGCGTGCCATTGCTCTCTCGAGATGCACGTGCAGGTGTATGTGCACACTAGCCCTAGTGAACATCATGAGCCATGCGATCACATCGCCCTCCTCAGGAGCTTGATCTTACAAAGATAAGTAAAATCAGTTTCACTATGCTATCCATGCATCACAACGTAACCACAAACCCAAACCCTCCACCAACAAACATCAGTCATAGCCAGGCTGCGGCGAATTCCTGGCCGGTGGCCCTCTTCTTGCAAACCTGCAGACGCTTCACTCTCAGGCTCCGGGGTCTTACTCGAACAGCGAGCACGCGGAAGTTCCGACACCGACTCAGAATGCCGGGAAAGTACGGTCTCGGTGAGTTTCTGCCACACCGCTAAAGGCTGCAAAAGCCAAGATTTGCATAGCCAGACTTGGAGAGAATTGAGGGTTCTAGAAATTCGAGTCCAGGTCACCAACAGCAAAGTGCAAGATTAACAGCTCCAGATTAAGGCCCGAGACGACTTAGAGGCAGCACCCCAGGCAACGGCGAGCTCTCAGGAGCTTGCACGGTGGCAGGGTTTAGGGTTCAGGGTTTAAGGTTAAGGGTTTTTTTAATGTGTGGTTTAGGGTTTAGGGTTTAAGGGTCTAGAATCCGACCTGCAGGTCAGTAGCTAGATGCGAGGTGGCTCTCAAAAAACACCTGGACCCCTCTGCTCCACATGCCTCCACCCTTAAACCCGACGCGCAGAAGTTGCCCCTCATTGGGAATGAAACCAAAACCCCTTATACCTCAACCCGAACCCCAAAGCCACAAAGCCCCACTGGAACCACCCCTAAACCCTAAACCGAACAGGAAGCCAGCGTGTTTCTGGGGCCCACACAGAGACCACACCAAAGGCTCCCTCGCCTAGTGTCTGACCGACCTGGGATATCAATCAAAAGCTCTCGAGCTAGAGTAAGATCGGGTGTTGGGTTTTAAGACTGTAAGTTAGGCCCTTATACTTTGGGCTTGGGGTCTTGAGGATTTCGTTGGGCAGACGTCCGGGGAGGGGGCGTTCGAGTTGACTCTTGGGTTCAAGGGTGGACGACCGACCTCATAGAGCAAATAGAGTATATAGTGCCGTAGATAACTTGCTATAGCTTTTGGGCCTCTTGGGTTTGTAAGCTCCAGGGTGTACTACGCTGAAAAATATCCTGGGATTCTGAAGGAAGAACGGTTCGGACCGCTGGGGCTCTCTCGTACTTACAGTCTGTGATTATGGCTTGGGATTCATAGACTCCGACGACGCCGCTACCACCACCCCTACCAGTGATGAGAATCACTCTGCTGACTGGCATCTTGGCATGGACGGACGGCCGAGTCGGACAGTCATCGGCTCTCCGGTAGACTTTTCAAAGGCTCAGGGTCTACCTCTTACGTTCCAAGTTTAACGGTTCCCTGGGAGGCCACCAGCAGTAGCTCGCCAAGGCCCCGGCGGCGTACTCGTCCAACAACCTGAGCTCCTGGTTCGACTTGTCCTGACCCTGGCAAGGCTCTGCTTGGCTTTCAACCCCCGGACCCTGAACTTTACGCTGCGTTGATTCTTCTGCGTGAAACTGGAACTCTTAGCGATTGATTGAAACCTGAGCCCTGTGATTTCTCGACACCCTTCACACCGAAGCCCCTCTGACTTTCCAGTGCGCCCAAACCCTTGGCCTCAAGCGCGAGCCCAAATTACCCCCGAAACTCGAATCGCAAGCTTGCACTCCAAGTCTAACCATGGATTTGGGGCTCATGCGAGGTTCGAGGGCTTTGGGCTTCGGACTGTGTAGGAGGCAGCATCCCAGTGCAACGCATGCATGATCCCCAAAGATGCCCCCAAACCAGTATGTTGGGACTTTCAACAGCAGAACTGGAAATCGTAGTAATCGCAGGAACACAAAACAAAAAAGACAAGTATTTCAATGATCTGACAACACAACCCAAACCCATGACGTTCGTTCGTTTATGTTCGTTTCCGGAGCAGCTCGTTCTGCCTGAGCATCCTTTTAGACGTAAGAACCACAGCCATCCACGGTCAGGCTTCCTCTTCACAACCTATAACATCTCTGCCCTAAACCCTGAGCCCTGAAAAGCTACAGCGCCAAAGGCCTGCCGACAAGATCCTGAGCCCTCAACCTAAACCCTAAAGCTCCAACTCTGAACCCCCTTGACCCCTTAACAGTGAACCCAAAACTGGCCCTAGACACCGAAGCTCTCGGGGCGTCATTGCCCGTGGCAGCCGACCTTAAGCCAAGCGACTCTTGGGTGGTGGGAACTTCGGGCTTACGTCTGAAAGGGTGTAGGGTTTACAGTAGGGTACACACTTTTGCAAGAGCACCCCGTGCGGAAGCTGGTGAAATTACGGTTTGCTAAACGACAAGCAATCAAACTTTGACATTATCGTTGCGACTGCGACTACCACCACCCCCACCACTGCTAGCGCTACCGTTGTCGCTACTCTGACTGATGAGCTACTTACACTATTGCCATCGACCATTTTCAATACATCCTGTAGATTTTCCCAGTTGTTGCTGGCACTAGTGTTGCTTTGGCTGTAGCTGTGCTACTACCAACATCTCCCACACGATCGAGAAACCACCGAAGCCGGGGGCACGACGAAGCACAGCCCATGCCGCAAACGTACCTGGCAAGGAGTGAAACTCATGGCAGCTCTCTAGGCCAGTGACATATAAGCCCTCTCTGGTCGAAAGGCACATGGATGAAGGGGACGTAAGCTGTAGAAACCCCTTGATCAGGCACCCCTCATTCTTGACACACCAATTGCTTCACCAAGTTGTCAGAACTTGGAAAAGATGCCTGGAGCTGAGTTGCCCAACATCAACCACATTCAACGCGACTATTTTGCATCATAGACAGCAGGCTCCAGGATTTTGGGTTTCGAGTTCGGGCTTGAGGCTTTGAGGTTGAGGTTATGTGCACCATTCAAAACCACTTGCAAGCACATCATGCGGAAAGCTTGCGGCGCACCGGATCGTTCTGAAACTCTGTCCTGCACACAAGCTGACAGGATCCCCACCCGGTAACATCGCCCAGGTCATTGGCCTCGCCTCTTAGCCTCATGCCCATTGGTCCAAACTACTTGAAGACGTCAAAGTCTCAGGTCGTTAAGCGAACTGCGAACATGGCCAAGGTGATCAAACGAGCATCGGTAGAGCTCCAGAGCTTGTAATACCAAACTTGGGGAAGTGGCTCGTAGGGGCAGGATCCCGGTCACCAAGCTTCAACCGTTCATCATCCTAAGCGCTAAGTTCAGAGACATGCCGAGACCTGGGACTTGCAGCTGCAGTTGGAGCCTCTACACACAAACAACTCGTCACAACCAAGGATGCCTAAACAGAAACCACATCTAGTTCGGCATGAACAGGGTCACCAAACATGAACCACCAACCACATGTGACTAATCGGTATAAGTGTAGTAAGAAGGCTGAACTTCTCATGTTTCATCCCTGTCTCATCACAAGAGCGACAACACAAGCAACGAGTGTTGTGGATCTCAAGACAAGCCTTCCCATTGAAACGCAACATCACTGTGCACCGGAAGGACTTTCAAGGATTGGGGGAACAAGCCCTGCAAGAAGCACGCGGCAAGCCAATGGTCCTCACTCAGAGGCAAAACACGTCCGCTGGAGTTGCGCAAGATTCGTTTCCGGCAACAGCTGCGAGCCAAACATGCGACAATCTGGGTTGCACTACTCAAAAGCCACGCGAAACTTGAGGAAGAAAGCCTCTGAAGCTTTGGTGCCTAACGACCCGGCGGGCTCACGAGATTGGCGCCGCTTGGACGTGTCTAGTGTAATGGTGGTAGGGTTGATGGTCAGAGCTTGGGGGTTTAAGGGTCAGGATGTGGGCTTTTGGTTAGGATATAAGAGTTAGAGTTAGGGTTTAGAGCATTAGGACAAGGGATGCGCATGTTTATGTGGTCGTTTAGACCAACCATGACTTGAGAATTCCAATGCTTCTGCTGCAAGATTTTCAGTGGAGCTGGGATCCGCAAAGATCTGACGATCCATATTCCATGTCTTCTGGGCCCAGGGACCATATTATGTAAGGCTTTCGGGCTATCTTGAGCCTTGGGTCAGGGTATAAGGGCATATGAAGCAAAACACTCATATCCTAAACTGAATAACTGAACACTGACCCACAAGTATACGACTATCACCAACCAGAAGACAACAACATCATCAGGACGTTTGGACCCTCTGGGTGTGGATCAACCTGTTTGGCACGATTTGCCCAACTGTGGATGTACGAAACCTTGCTAAACATTTCATTGAGATTCTGTACGAGCTCTATATGTCTATAAAAGTCCATATGGATTCCCATGGATTGGTGTAGGATTCAAGCGGGTGTGTCCGTAAACAGCATCAAATAGCTTAACTCTCGGCCCTTGAGACGACTTGCGACGAGGCGACTAGGTGAGCGCATCGGTGTTTAGGGAAGCACCACTTCCTTATGATCAGCAGAGGACACAACATCAAAGGCACGACCCAGACTTTACATGAAAGCTCGAGCTTAAGGTTTCGGCGTTGCCTGTATCTGTATATGCTCTCACTGAAAGTATCAAGGATAATTCCGAAAGGGGGCCGTGGTAAACAGCAGCGTGCAAGAAGCTTGTTTCCACGCCAGCCAGGCGCTGGTCACCTGACAGCTGGTGCGTGCTGATTTCTCTTCCATCCTGTGCCCTGAATCTGTGGTTCGGACCTGGTTGCTCAGCCACTTAGGCTTTACAACTTTACAATTTCCTAGGCACCTTTTCGGGGTGTTTAAAGCTTCCTATGTTATGTTTTCCGCTGCTGGCACGACCGAAGTGGACGATCATGGAGATGGTGGAAACAACGATGATGACAAAGATGGTGATGACGACATACGACGAAGGTGACGACGACGACGACGACGACTGCAGCGGCAATGGTGATGACGACCATCGTGATGACGTCGGTAACGGCGATGATGATGGTGACGGCGGTGATGACTGTGATGATGGTGATGAAAGTGGTGGTGTGACTGTCACAACTACCACTATTGTCATGATGCTGCTGGCGCTGCTTTTGCTACGGCTGCTGCTTGGACCCTTGCACCGTCGCTGCCAAGCACATACACACGGCCGTGCCAACTTGCTGCAGTCCCGGAATAAACGTGTGAACCGAAGACAGGAACGAAGGCACGAGGACGGGCATGTTCCCGGTGTTTACGGGCATTTCTTGATGGCTTCTCGGTGGCCCAATGGCAAACTATGCCAGGCTTGTTCTGTTGTGCGACGAGGAAACGGACACCCAAGGCCGGCGACAAACAAACTGAGACTTGTTCTCGATTCCGTACGCTGTGCTCTCCGTGATCCCGGGTAAAAATTCCGGAAGGATACACCCCAAACCCCAGAAGCTGGTTTTCAACGCATCCACCTTGTTCTTGTAAGGTGGGCATCTTCAACGGCATGGTGGCTACAGGTGAGAATTAACCACGTGTGGTTTTGTGGGGCTGACGGCGCTTAGGGTTCGCCACTGGTGCTTTTTGGATATAGGGTTTTAAGTTTAAGACCGTTGCATGTGTTTGGCTCTTTGGTATCAGGAGATTTTTCAAAAAAACACGGCCGGCCTCCTAAGTACCGCAGAAGGCACGACGAGTAAGCAAACCGACCGTCCCGACACGAAATTCTCGTGCAGTCCGGATAGACGTAAACAAAAACCTGAAGCAAAAACACTGCACACGAAGCTCCAGATCCGAAAGACTGAAACAAAAAATCATACCCCTAACTATACCGCCCACACCTCACCATCCAGGAAAACAGCGACGCGGCGTCCTGCCAACATGTCAGGTGCGCTGTGTGTGTGTGCTTAAACCTGGACCCTTATTTGGGTCTTGTTCTTTGGATTTAAGGCTTGGGGTATAGGTTTGAGATTTGGAATCTATGGTACCACCTATATTCTTCGCTTTTGACATGCGGCTGTCCTTGGTTGCGGAAGCATGTCTATCTGTACGTTTAATTCCGGAAATCAGCAACTTGGGCACACTACCACCAAAGCTTACACCTAAACATACTAAACCCCCAAACTCCACAGTCTGAAACCGTAAACGCGAAGTTTCTGAAAATCCAAAAGCGCCAAAGACTCAAACCCCAAACCCAAGATCCTCAACAACAACGTGAGCCTAAAGCCTAAATCCTATAGCTTAGGGCCTCGACCGCGTAAGACCTCAGCACCCAGAAACCCCCGATCTATCAAATCCTCGTCCTCAACTCCAGAAAAGAACTGACACAGGCCTCGACGATGTGGAGGAAGCCGTGGCAGAACTGGCAAGAGGTTTAAAATTGAGGGATTTTTTCGCCAACCAGTCGGGATGAGGAAGTACATCCTGTACCCTGAATCTGTGTTCGGACCGGGTTGCTCAGCCACTTCGGCCGTACAACCTCCTAGGAACGGCCTCCCAAGTATCGCAGAAGGCACGACGACCAAATTAGCCGACCTTCCCGACCAGAAACTCTCGTGCAGTCCGGAAAAACTTAATCAAAACTTGAAGCAAAAACAAAGCACACGAAACCCCAAATCCAAAAGATTGAAACAAACAATTCCAACCCCCCGGCCCCCACCTCGGCATGCCAAACAGCCACATGACGTCCTGCCGACATGACAGGTGCGCTGTGTGCCTGCTTAAAACTGGACCCTTACTTGGGCTCCGTCTTCTTAGGATTTAGTGCCTGGGGTTTAGGTTTGAAATCTATCGTACCCCATAGATTTTTCACTTTTGACATGCGGCTGTCCATGGTTGAGGAAGTCCCTTGATCTTGACGGTTCATGTCTATCTGTACATTTAGTTTTGGTGGGGAAGGGAAATCAGCAACCAAGGCCAACGCCCAAACACAAGAAATCCCCAAACCCCTCCGTTTCGGAAAGTCCAAAAGCAGCAAAAACTCTCACACCCCAAACCCAAGATCCTCAACAACAACGTGAGCCTAAAACATTGCATCCTACAGCCTAGGGCCTGGACCGAGCAAGACCTCAGCACCCAGACACCCCCCGATCTATCAAAGCCTCAACTCCCAGAACAGGCCTCGGCTATCTCGCAGAAGCCGTTGAGGAACTGGCAAGAAGTTTAGAATTGAGGGTTCAGGGGTGGAGGGCTGGAGTTGGCAATGCCGTAGAGTGTTCTACATGGGCTTTAGGGTGTTGGGTTATGGTTTAGCGTGTAAAAACCCTGCACCCGATAAGTAGCTTACTGTTGTTGGGCCCACTGCACAAGCCATAGTTTCAGCCCAGAAAAACCGAAGCAGTACATTCTTTTGTGGTCTTTGCAGTCAAGTGTCGGCCGTGCCACTCTCGATGACGGTGTGGCCTTTTGCTGATCCTGTGGCAATGGCAGGATCCGGAATTAGTCGCTGGGTTTGTTCACACAACGCTGAAATCATTCAGCTGCTACAAAAAGGACATGTTGTATTTCACACTTTTGGGAAACACTTTATGCACTTCGGAGAAACTCGTCTGCTGGAGGGTTGGGGACGACTGCGGTCTGAAGAAGTAAGGCAAGCAAGCTTTCAGTGGGGTTACAGGATGCCACGACACGAACGTCCCAGTAAATAATGAAGCTCCTGCCTGTGTCTTCATTATTGGCCTGCCGCTACCAGGTCGGGGTAAAACTGCACACCGCAGTCCGGAGTCTGCATCCACAGTGTCATCAGGGTGCTACGGACTCGCAAAGGGCTTCCGAAGCGGTTGTAGACGGGTGAACTCCGCCTTCATTCCTCTACAGGAACTGAAACATGCGCCAATGTAGCAAGATCTTTCTCTGAAACTAAGCTGTGATGCCCCTACGGTTCGTCATACGTCTGCTAGCTGTTGATCAGAACTCGGGCAGATGGAAGACCTACCCTCAACAGCCCAGCTCAGAAAAGCATTCACATGGTCATATGGTGTCCCCCGCCCCACGCCTTGACAAACAAAACATCAAACATGGCATTCATCCTTGCCGAACAATGGCCTGCCATGCAGGCTACTCGCATTTCCAGGAATGCTGGTACACTTTCGCCCTGAACTCCCCAGCATCTCAAATATGTTAACTCACCCAGCATGGCAGACACGGACATGACAACGACCTTCTCGTGAAGTCACGAGCCTGTGGACTCTCTGACGACTCTGGGGGCTTCGTGACGTAGCCCTTCCTCGATGACGTCCACAAGCGTTGCAAACCGCCCGGCGGCCCTGGACTCAGCATAAAAGAACACGGAAGGTGGCGGATAGGTCGGATAGGCCGCGTAGTCGCCGGCATCGGTTGCTGCGGATGTCTGCTCAACAAGCAGAGCAGCGTCAGGTGATTCTCTTTGCCGGGAGTCTAAAGCTACGCGCGGTCCTGGAAGGAGTGCGGAAGTGCATCGTCACAGAGACGAAGCGCCGCTATAAAGCCCGGTACACCCTCCCCAGGTCCCCAACCTCCCCAAACTGAACGCTGCACTCAGCCTGAAAACGCTCGACACTGAGCAATCTAATTGCTAAACAGGCAACCGGGGAATTACAACACAGATTCGCCTTAGGCCGCAAAATCCGGAGAAGCTGGGCACCGTGCTGACAAGGTGGAGAGCATCGTGGACGTCTTTGACATCTTGGAGACGGGGGCTTCTCTCCTCATGAAGGTGAAGCGCCCGGTTACTCGTTCGGCATGTGAGCTTTTCATGGGATTGTTTACGCGCCTTGAAAGTGATTGTCGGGTTTCATGGAATGTCGTGAGGTTTGGGAGCTCTACTACATGTAGACAAGTTCCGACTAAGCACAAAGAGCTCGGGGTCACGATGGACTTGAAGCTTCTGACAACACGGCTTTGATTCTGCATGCCTTGAGGGTTTGTGAACTTGATTCAGGCCACACCCTGGGCAGTTTTGTTCGCATACCAGGCGAAGTGAGGATGTATCCGAAGGGATTAAGTCTGTAGCTGGTATTCCCTGGGGTCTGCTGGCCTTCTGAGACCAAGTCCATGATGTTGTTGGCCCCACAGAGAAGCCGAATCTCCCAACTAGATTGCGGCCCTGTCTCGGCGAAACCCGGAGCTACACTGAACGCTGAAGGATTTCAGAGTTCTGGGATTTGAGGTGTCACGTCCCAAGGTCTTCATGCTTGCTGCTGCTGCTACGGCTACTGCCACTGCCACTCCCATTGCCACTAACACTGCCACTAGCGTGTAATTGTACCCCAAATCCTGAGCACAAAACCGCAAACACGACATCGGGAAATAGCTTGGAGTGTTCAAATGCGGAGTCCCTCCCAAATGTCACGAGCAGACGCTTCGGTGGCCACCTGTGGCCCTTGCTCTCACAACTCTGGCACAGAGTGTCGGCCCGAGAATAGCCGGTATTTCAGGAATACTGTAAAGGTGTATAGTTTCTTAAAACATAGCAAACTCCTTTCAGAGTTCTACCGAGGGCTACTACGGTGGAATGAGACCTTGAAGTCACCTAAGCTCCTAAAGCCCTGGCACGCCATTCGACAAACAACGCCAAATCCAAAATCTACCTATAGACCCAAACCAAAGGCCATTCAAAAACTCACCAACATTAAAATTACAAAAATTGAAGCAGATAAGCTTTGGCTGGACCAAGCAAGCTGAACAACCTCAACACCATAAACATTCTGGACCGACCAGGCCTAGCGAGCTGGCACAGGCTCTTCCTGGTTGGGAGTTAGGGTTCAGGGTGTTTGTTGTTTAACATGCTGGATTTTGGGCTTTTGGTTTTGGGTTGATTTCAAATTTAGGGCTGAGGGCTGTTGGTAAGCTTCTTCCGTCTGCAGTTGCTTCGGAGTCCCGTGTACGAGGAAGCCAGAGTTTAAGGTTTAGCCAGCACTAGTATAAGTACCAGCACTTGTACTCTCAACTTGTACTTATAGCAGCAGTAGCAGTAGCCGTAGCTGTAGGCGTAGCCATGGCAGTAGCAGTAGCAGTCGATACCCTTGGCTTTTGACATGCGGCTGTCCTTGGTTGCGGAAGCATGTTTATCTGTACGTTTAGTTCCGGAAATCAGCAACTTGAGCACACTACCACCAAGGCTTGCACCTAAACATACTAAACCCCCAAACTCCTCAGTCTGAAACCGTAAACGCGAAGTTTCTGAAAATCCAAAAGCGCCAAAGACTCAAACCCCAAACCCAAGATCCTCAACAACAACGTGAGCCTAAAGCCTAAATCCTATAGCTTAGGGCCTCGACCGCGTAAGACCTCAGCACCCAGAAACCCCCGATCTATCAAATCCTCGTCCTCAACTCCCAAAAAAGAACTGACACAGGCCTCGACGATGTGGAGGAAGCCGTGGCAGAACTGGCAAGAGGTTTGAAATTGAGGGGTTTTTTCGCCAAACCAGGCGGGATGAGGATGCACTGTATTTGTAAGCTGATACTCTCTGGCTTCCGACTCTGACCTTCCAGAAAAGTCAAGGCTTGTTCCAGCCTGGTTGAACCCGCAAGCAAAGCAGATACCAATAACGACAATAGGCAGTGCTCCGCAACCTTGGTGAATGCTGTGTTGCTCAATGCCGACTGGTTGTTCCTCTTCTTGTCATTTTTCTTGCCTTTGCTGGGTGGTAAGGGTGGTAAGAACTCCTCATGAAGGCGAAACGCTAGGTTGCTTGCAAAAGTCTTCACACATTGGGGTTTCGATTCGTCTGCGAGCCTTACATCCAGACAAGCTCGGACTAAGGTGCAACACGTCTTCGCTAGGAGAAGGGTTTAGCTTGCCTGTCTTCCACCTCTTGAGCGGCCTGCACAACCTCGGCGAGGTCCTTCCCAGGCTTAGGGCGTGTAGAGTTTCGGGCTTTTTGCCTAAGTTTCCAGGAAATCCATTGCTTAGAGATTCAGTTTGTAAAACCGGGCACCAGGAGTTATGGGCAACCTGTGCTTTAAAAGAACGTGCTCTTGCGAGTCTTCTTCAAAGGGTCACCGCTACAGGTGCTGGGGATGATACTTATTAGCGTTGAGTTTGCAAGACTCCACGGTGCTTTGTGGTGTAGCTTTGAAAGGCTACGCCAATGCGGGGCTCAAGGAGCGGGTTCAACGTCTACACTTGCTAGGTCCGTAACCCTCAACTCTGACTAACATCCCAGACACGATGCCATGGACCACAAACCTTAAGCTGCTCAAGACCCTCAACCTGGGTCTTCCGGTTGATCGGCTTCAGCTTGAACGTTCTGGTGTGGTTGATCGTGAAGATGACGATGATGATGCAGCGATGATGAACTTGATGAGCACGCCGTCCGTCACCATGGTGGCGCTTCGTGTGACACTTAACCTGAACCCTACATCAGAGTTCCCGATCCTAATATGCCTAATAGCATACGTAACTGCACGATACCATTGAACTCTGATCCGAAACCCTGAAACTCCCACAGACCGTACTGCAAGGCCCAGGGTCCTTTTCTGCCTTGCGCACTTTGGCACTCAGCCTGAGTACTTGAGGATTTCAAGTTTTGGTTTACGATATTGTACATGTTACGCAATGCTTGCACATTGCACACCAAATTGCCCCTCCAAGCTGGACAGAATGGTTTAACCGCAGGGGTGCGCAAGTGGGCCACGCACAAAGCTAAAACTAAATCGTAAGTAAGTGCCGACACTCCGGAGCAAGTGCCATGGTTTCTTGTTTTGGTGGGCTGGCAATCCAAAAGAGCAGTCTTGAGATGTATAGTCACCGGGCACCTTGCCACATTTCAAACAACCCGCGCAGTCTATACTGTCTGCGCTTGGAAGGATCAGGAGGAGGGGTCCAGCATTCGACTAATTTAGCGTCCACTGTTGCAGCGAGCTGTTTCGGTCCTAAGCCCTGTAAATCTTGAACTTTCAAACTCATTATAAAGTAAGTGCCGGTGAGTGTCTCGAGACCTTTCCGCTGCTCCCAATCATCTCGACGGGAGGCTTCGCCAGCCTGTAGTTTGCAACTTTTGGCTTTGAGCTCTGGGGGTGCAGGGTTCTAAGTTTCAGGGATTCATAGCTGTAGGGCAAGTTGCAAGCTTTCGTAGTTTAGAAGTCACAATGGTGTTTCGAGGCCTCCTCGCTCGGCTCGCGAACTTCGAGCTTCGGCTCCACGTCGCGGTAATAGTCGAAGATTGCCTCAGAAGTCTCGGTCGTTGGAAGATTTTGATCCAATTGTGACGCCGCAAAAACGAAGTCTGGCTTCAGGAGCTTCCGATCCGTACCGAAAGCCGCAAGCGTCCCGAATTGCAAGAGCCGCCCACATCTAAACCTGCACATAAACACACGCGCACACACACACAGACACACACACACACACATGTTCGTAGTTGCTTCGTCTTTGTATGATGAAGTCTTTAACGACGTATCCTTGAAGGCCCGAAACCCTGAGCTGTCAAACTCCGCCTTAGTTTTCGGCCGACGGTCGTGCTTTGCGAGCCGGATTCCGGGGTAGAGTACTGCCCTTGACGTGTTGTTTGAGAGTGCTTCAGACGTCCCAGTTTCAACCAGACATTACGAACAAAAGCGACACGAAAAGACTGTGGACCCTTATCATCACGCTTGGACTCAACAGGAGTGACACAGTGACACATGTATGTGTGTGTGTGCGCGCGTGCGCTGGCCTGACAGTTGGATGCTGCCTTGCATGGTTCTGGCTTTACCTGCTCATGGGACAGCCTCAAGTTCATATCTGCCGAATAGCAGTTGGTAGTGACAGAAAATCAAGGGTCCGAATAAGAGGGTGCAGCACCATGGGACCGAAAAACCGCAAGAGCCAGTGTGCCTCTCGGGGGTCAGTTTCATGTATCCCCCTGCCACCACATCAATGCTGAAACCTGTTCATGTAGCATGCATCCATTAGTAGGATCATTGTGGAGTGGACACGATCAAGGACACGGTGCTAAGGAATCCCAAAAACTGAATCACATCTGCTACCTTCTGCCGCGAAAGCCTCAATTTGTTATGTCGATCAACTTCTGCATAGCAGTTTCAGAAAGAGGGGCCCGAACATCAGGCCTAAATAGAAGGATCCTTGCTACGGGAAGCCCTGAAAAGGGGATCCTTAACTTTAATTACAGCAATGTCATGTGAACCGGGCATAAACCCTTGACGCAGTCAAGTCCAGCCAGGTTTCTTGGTAGGCTTCGTGGACATCTTCGAACCTTTGCCGGGCCTTGCGACAAAGTAAGGGTTCAGTGCCTATAGTGCATACAGCACTTACAGGCTTCCAGGGTTTTAGGGGTTTAGGGATTGTGGGGTCTGTAGGCTTTGCAGGGCTCATAGGCTTAGGGCTTATCGGATTTCATGATCTGTTCTAGGGCTTGTACAGCTCATAAGGTTCAAGGAAGAGGGTGTGCGCGGGTTTGGGCTTCAGGCTTTGTGTAGACTTTAGATGAACTTTAGATGGAACGCTAGCAAAACCGGAACCCACAAGAATGCTGAAACCTAGACAAGAGGATTCTCACTCCTAGGAACTGGCTTTCGGGTGCCCAACCACACGCTTCAACCTGCCCGTACTGAAACTCCAAAGCCCTTTGATTAGGGAAAATACAAAGCCGGCCACGGCCTCGTCTGAACTGTAAGTGTTGAAGCAAGGCGACACAATGGTTCCACAGAAGCCAAATTCTCGAGTGAACTCGCGAGCCCTGGCGTGCTGAGGACGCGACATCTTTGTGCTCCTGTCACGGGAAGGGGCATCAAAACCCACTGAACTTCGAGGGGGAAGACAAGATCATAAACCCAAGCCGAATTAACCAAACCTCATTCCGAAACACCGCAGGTCACTCGCTCCATGGCCTGCCACCGATCACTGGATGGTGCAAAACCCCTAGTTAAGAACTATGAATGTGCGAAATCCCGCCCCCCTTCCCGAACGCCAAAAAGCCATCAAGTGCACCGATTTCCTCACCTTCAGCAAAAGAAACCAGGAACGAACCCTGGGCGAGCACAGCGCGAATCACTGACTCGAATGATACTAATGAAATGACTTAGACCGATAGACCCAGTCGTAAAGCCTCACAAAGTCCCGGAACACGCTGCACCACGGCTTTGCTCTGACTCCAAATGTCACTGAACAAGAAAACTGGATCCCCAGCAGAAATGATGCATCAACTAGGGTCTCTAGTGAACCTTCAAGCTCGCAAGAGAAAGAGAGTGAGCGAGAGAGACAGAGAGACAGAGAGAGAGAGAGAGAGACAGACAGACAGAGAGAGAGAGAGGGAGATGCATCAGCGCAGGCACCAAGACCCATGCATGACGGCGGTGCAGGTTGACGGGGAGACAAGATCATAAACCCAAGCCGGCTCCCTGGCCTGGAAAAACGTTGTGGTGGATCCCCCTTCGACAAACGTCTGAAACGAGCGGCACCCCAAAATGCATCTACCCTTAACCTACACCCTAAACCCCCAACCACAGTCCGACCCAGCAAGTCAAGCAAGCCCAACGAGCCCGACAACCTCGACAAACCTCACCGCTAATCCCTGAATCCCAGTGCTTAGTGATCCGGAACCGCGTGGCACAACATCTAGACATAGAACGAAATAAACCGAGGATGTCGAACATAAGGCTGGGGCTATAACAACATGAAGGCTCGTATGCACAATGGTAGTATGCGCAACCGCAGAAGCCCAGCTACCAATTTGTGGGCTATCGCCCTTGTGTACCATAACGAGCTACAAGGTAGGAGTAACGAGTGGAAGGTAACTGGGCTTCTAGGGCAAGATCCGACACCCCAGGGGCACCACAAAACCCATAAGTCAGCAACAAACGCTAGCAGCATCTTCATCCTTACGTTGGCTTAAGATAAGCGGCTTAAGTTGCGTTCTTCAGTGGAACACAAAAGACAAATCTAATAATTCAGTAAAGGATCCTACTTTGATTTAGCTGTATATGTGCCTCGATTAGGGGCATGTGGCGTCTGAATGGGTGTCCAAGCAAACGCGCGGCAAATTACTGCAAAGGGGTCCTTCTCCGTGTCCTGGTGCCGCTTGTCGGGATGCCAGCGCCTCACGAGTCAGCTGCAACGCAGAACTCCGATATGCACTTATTGGGTGGATTCGGCAAATCCGCCGAGGCCTCGCAATCTAGACTTAGCCTCTTCAAATCCCCTCAACTCCCCTGCCCAGACTTGTCGTGGTGATGGACCTACTACGCACACCTGCTGCGCGCACGTGGCGAGAGAACACTGATGCTTTGCCCTGAACAGGAAACCGATGCAGTCACCAGGCTGTTTGGGGAACAAAGACCCTTAGAGTTATCAGTGCTTTTTAATCAACTAACGTCCGTCCGGATGCTCCTTCCTGGCAGGTACGACCAACTCAGCCCTTCCAGATCGCTACTCCCTTAGAGGCATCGATGTACTCCAGCATCGAGGCCTGGCTTCGGCCATCCAGACTTTGCGGACGGTCACGAGGGGAGCATTGCGCGCCACCTCGGATCGAGTAAGGGTTGCGGTTGAGGGTCTAAGGCCATCGGGCTTAGGAATGCTTAAGGTCTAGCCGGTCTAGCCATCCTGAGGGCATTGCGTATGACCTGACCTAGGAACAGCCGCAACCACCTTTTACGATCTAGAGGTTTAGGCATTCCGGGTTCAGGCTGTAAGATTTAGTGCTCCGGGTCTCCTGGACCCTCCACAACGAGAAGATTTCGATCGTTGTTGCGAACTCTCGCGAGGATAACTGCTCGACTCGAGCACGTAAGAAAGATTAAGAAAGAATAGAGTAGCAGGGCTCAAGGAATTTTGAAGCTTAGATCCTGTAACCCCAGAACTCAGAACCACACCAAAAACAAGTCCCAGATCACCCACACCCGCAAGGAACTGAAGCTTAGAGGCTTGTGGGTTTCTGTGAATGAACTGACCCCTTCTCCGCGAACCATACAGGAACTGCTCATCCCGAAGCCCAAGCAAGCGCAAAACCCCAGATCCAAAAGACCTAAACTCCCAAACCCTCAATCCCAAAAAACAAAGCCTGAGCTCTCAACCCCAACGTTTCAAAACTTCAGAACCCCATAAAGCTTAAAACGCGACTTGTGTTTTAGGTTTACGGTATTCGGGTCTAGAGGTTTCAACTTGATGTTTGGATCTTCAGGAATTGGAACCGTCTGCCCTGAGAAGACAGATTGTATACAAGCGCTGCTAACAACCAAAGCAACAACGATCCAACTACGGAATACGACCATTCAAGCCCCACACCAGCACAAGCACTCAAACCCCAGAACCCTTCAACCCTGAAAGCCGTGGTAACAAGGTCACCAACAGCCTGGACCGAGTCTTGAGTTCCAAGCGCAAAGAACGGCGAAAGGACATCTGCCTTTGCACAAATCCAGTTGAAGGAAACACCTACTAAAACTGTAACCGTGAGCCATGAAATGATCTGAATCCCAACGCGGAGAGCTCAAGACTCCGAGGCTTTCGTAGCCTAGCATGACGTCTTGAAGCCTCCAAAAGTGCTACTCCGGCGAATGAACTTGGGAAACTCGGAGGCATGAGGGTTCAGGGCGACTGGATTCTTGAAGCCGGCATGCTTTCGTGCGCGTGTGTGTTTCCGGAGTTGTCGTGGCAAAAGGCCCTGCGGAACAACGATAAAGTGAGAGCCACAGCCTCTGTTCAACACATTTCTTTGGAACTTTCGAGTGACCTTTCCAGGTGATGATTGCAACAGTAACCTGGAAATCGAAAAAACGCCACTTACTGAGAGAATTTGCCATAACGCTGTTACCCTTCCAACAAAACTAAGCCCTAAGCCCTATACTAGACCGCCTTATTATATGCTCCATATACTAGTAGTTGATATAAGGAGCATGTATACTCGAGCTCCGAGCATGAGAAATCGCCCAAGGATTTGTTTAAGAAGGCGCTTGGAGATCGTAACATGCAAGGCTTGAGGCCCTTGCCCGGTTTAAGGATCTCGGCCACAGGCTAGGCCAGCGGTTGTGATCAGATACATTCGGTCTGTATGCATTCATCCTTCACATTCCCCGTGAGTCCTTCATGGTGAAATGGACATAAGAGCATATAAAAGCATAATCTTTGAGCTTCTGAATCAAAGGTTTGGACTGGGCGTGTGCGCAAGGGAATGCTGAATCCCTCAAGCCGCTTAGAGCAACTATGAGATCCCTCCATACAAAGCAAAGATGGCGCAAAGGGCGAGGCTTCGTAATACACCATTGGGACTTGTTGTCTCCGTGCCTGCAGAGTTAGACACCTGTAAAGGGAGCAGTGGTAGCTGGTTTGCCTGGTCTTCTCAACATAAAGCCCTATACCATCCGAAAATCTTTGACAACTTATCCTGAAGCCTAAGCTAGATCCTAAATCCTACAGCCCAAACCTAAACCCCAAAAAAGCCGTAAACTGAAGACTAAACCCGAGGCCTGCGACCATCCTCAGCATCTTTGCAAGCAGTAAGAATCCTACAAGGCCATGCGAGAAAGGGGTTTGAGATGAAACTCCACGGCTCATGAGACGGAATCGTAACAACTCCAGAAACCTCCCTACATAACTATACCATTTTGGTCCCTCAATCCGAGTCTACTTGAGATTAGGCTTTGGAACTTAGGGCTTAGGGTCTAAAGTTAGTGTTCGGGTTGTCGGTTCGACGTTTAGGGAATTCTGGCCTCAAGCTTGACCAGGGTTCGTGCTTCGGGCATTAAAGGGCTCCTTAAAGGTCCATCAAAAGGTGCAGTCTACAAGGATCCTATTGGGTTTTAGGCTTACAGCTTGGGGCGCCAAGAGCTTAGGGTCTTGGGGCACGTTGATCTCGACGCTCGGTGTTCAGGGTTTTCTTCGTCAGGACTTAGGGTTTGTGAGTCAAGAGCCTAGAGTTCTAAGATGTAGAGTCAATGTTCAATGCTTTTCCTTAGGACATGAATTCTCGAACCGCGAAAGCTCGAGCCGACGAGAAGCGACGGCAGATACGGATCACATTGGGCCGTTTCGGGCTTCGGACCTGAGGCTCCAGGGCTCAGGGCCTAACTGGGGAACCGCTTTATTTCGGAGGATCACCGGGGGTCACGACACAACAGAAAGTAAGATGATCGACAACAAACGATGCGCGACTCGGAGCATCTCCAACGAACTAGAAACCATATTCGACTTCAACTGCAAACACTGTACTGTACTCGATGACTGCGCACTCCCGATTCTTTGAGACCGAATCCGAAAACTGTGAACTCCTAAATCTTTTGACGGACTATGCCATTCTATATTCCTGCATGAACACAACTTGCAATATATTCTAGATTCTAGATGCCAATGTAAAACGGGCGTTGCAGGTTTATATCTTCACTAGTGGGTGTTGGAGTCTCTAGCAACCTCTATCTTTTGATGGCCGTCAGAAGAACCACATAAACATGCCGATCTCGCCATTCAGGCATTAAGGGTTCGGGAGTCCCCATCATGTGGGTTCTTACAGACTGTAGGATGCGCAGGTCCCTTTCTCAAGCTCCACGCGCCATGTCGAGCTTTAGGAAATGGGTCCAAGTATAATTTACCAAATCCGCCTTTCCTCCCCCCTGAAAACTAACACAATAATTGCAACGATCATCCACCAAACTACGTAGTAAAGGTGCTTTGAGCGATCTTGAACCGAAAGATTCCCCGCTCCGCTTGCACCACATCCTTCCATTGATGCTTCTCCCACCTTGGAATGCTCAATTCCAAACCTTGCACTTAGTGGCTAAGCGTGTCCTTCTTCAAACACCGGAATGTCGTTTGTCCAACATGATGTCCATAAACGGATATGATTTGTTCGACCTCCACCGTCTGTTTTGCTGGCCTCGGAACCAGAAGCAGCTGTTCTGGTACAGCTCCGACGTGTTTTGCTGTTGACCCCATCCCGTTTTGCGACTGCAAAAACCTTTTGTGAAGCACCATCAACTGCATGGCGTCGGTGCGCACAACAGACTGCCAACACGAGAGACACCGGAAGTGGAGTTGCAAAAATGTCGCGAATGACGAAATCAGATGCGGGAGCCTGCGCCACATAGCAGCGCGAGAAACCACAGGAACATACGAACACCAAACATGCTTTCGATCAAGAACGAAAACAGTACATATGTTTGTTCGACTCGAAAGAAAATCGTGATGGGAAAACACAAAGCCGAAACAGAAAGAGACACGGCACACGATTGTTTTTATGCATCGCAACGAATAAACAACTGAAATCTCAAGATTAACATGCTTTCTGCAAGAACACGAAATTGCACGACAGACTGGCGAAACACATGGCATGCCGCCCGCAACAGACCACAAAAAGATGTTCATGCGTTCACTTTACGAAAAACTCAGAATACGCATAGCCATAAGCAGAAACAGTTGTGCCAACGTGGATCCACACACAGAGAACAACCATACAAGCGGTGCATGAAAAAACCAGGCATGGGTTGACATGGTCGTCAGATCACGCAGCTTGTGATGCATCACCGAAAATCAAGAGTCGGACCAAGCTGTGATCGCAAATCGACTTCGAATCGCGCCACTGTGTGCATTTGTGCTGTGTGTGTGTTCGTGTTTGCCTAGGTACATCTATGTGTCTATGTGTCTATGTGTGTGTGTGTGTGTGTGTCTGTGTGTGTGTGTGTGTTTGTGCGTGTGCGTGCGTGCGTGTGTGTGCATGTGTCTGCATGTGCGTGCATGTGTGTGCAAGTGTGTGCATGTGTGTGCATGTGTGTTCATGTGCATGTGTGAGTCTGCATGTGTGTGTGCATGTGTGTGTGCATGTGTGTGTGTGTGTGTGTGTCTGTGCATGTGTGTGTGTGTGTGCATGTGTGTGTGTGCATGTGTGTGTGCATGTGTGTGTGTGTGTGCATGTGTGTGTGCATGTGTGTGTGTGTGTGCATGTGTGTGTGCGTGTGCACATGTGTGTGTGCATGTGTGTGTGTGTGTGTGTGTGCATGCGTCTGTGTGTGTGTGCATGTGTGTGTGTGTGCATGCATGTGTGTGTGTGAATGTGTGTGTGTGTGTGCATGTGTGTGTGTGCATGTGTGTGTGTGTGCATGTGTGTGTGTGTGTGCATGTGTGTGTGTGTGTGTGTGCATGTGTGTGTGTGTGAGCATGTGTGTGTGTGTGTGAACCTCCCTAGCACATGGGAGCACAGGGTCACTCCTGTCTATCGATTTTGAAGCTTTTATTGAACACATTTTTATTGAAACACATGATAGTTTGCAGGGGCATTGGGCACTCCTTGGCAAACCCAATGCAACGAAGCTATGCCATGGAGTGGGAAGCAGTTCAGGACGCTGAACTGTGTACCTGCAAGCTGGGCCCCCTGAGGCAGCAAGATTAGAAAACGCTGGCCCCTGAGGCAGCAAGATCAGTGCTCTTACAGTTTTCCACATCAGTTGATTGAATTGAGCATACAGTTTTGCACGTTTGCCGCAATCTGACAAGAACATGCAGCAAGTTCAACATGCCTCTCTCTTTTCCTTCTTGCACTCGTACTCTCGGCCGAATCAGTCAGTGTGACCACTGTGAGTCCCGAGACTCCAGAACAACGGCTTTCCGTCAAGGCGCCGTGGTGACCCTTCGTGGGAAACCGGTGATAAACCGGATGTTCAGCCTTCGTTCAGATTGTTCAGATCTCCGGATGCTACTTTACCTCTCTCTCTCTGATGCCTGCATGTGAGTCTGACATGAGTGCAGGCGCAGTAACGGACGGCTAATGCGGTAAATTGCGTCGAGTGAGCAGGTGCTACCTCGCTAGTCTGTCCCCTATTCGATCGCTTCTTTATTCTTCAGGGAATGCAAGGGCATGTGCAACTGACATGAGTGCAGGTGCAGTAAGTGACGGCTAGTGCAAGGGAATGAGGCTTCCTCCGGGAAGTAATCGGCCTCTCTTCTGCTTCTTCGACTTCTCTCAAGACAACAAGGCACCGACAGCCTCACGTTTGCATTTGTTTTTGCATTTGTCCACGTTTCACTCCAACATGTGGCATGAACAGTATGCCGCCCAGCGCCCGGCGGGATACGGCCATCAGCCGGCCTTTCTTCAGCAGCTGCCGACGGAGCAAGCAACATGGACACCGGCATCACCATATGCACCGGTGGCACGGCCATTCATCCAGCAACAACAGCCTCCGACATGGATGCAACATGTTTCGGCCCTTCAAGGGGCCTCTCCACCTAACTTGGTGGCCCCGACACAGCAGCCACAGGCCTTGCAGCAAACCATACACCACACAGACAATTTTCTAAGCACACCGATGACACCCTGCAACCCATGCGGGCAAACAGCTCCGGTCCCGCAACACACCATATTCTTCCCACACTCCAGCATCACACAGCCACAAATGATACAACAACCCCCACCTCGACAAATCATGCAGCCACATTCGTCATCCTACTTTCCCGCCATACAACATATGTCCCCAACCATCACTCAGCAAACCACATCGCAACTTTCCCCCCACCCCACCACCAACTTTTCCCCCTCATCGCAGCTCGCCCCGCAGGGCATTACCATTACACCACCTTCACAAAACCTACACAACCCAGCAAACCCTCCCAACCCTCCCAACACCACAAGTGTCCACAACCCACACCCCACTCCTTCCCCGATGCCGATGCCCACGGACACCGCTCCTGCAAACCCACCAGCTACAACAACTACAGCACCCAACATCACAGCAAGTGATCCGGCCACTTCGGCTCAACAACCGACCGCGTCTGGGGACACACAGACCCGGCATCCCCCCTTCCTCGCAGACGACATCGCTCCCACCCCCGTACCAGAGCACGAACTACGAGCCGCAGCCAGCATCGACGTCGCAAGACACACCACAGGCGACATCAACGATCTCACAGCCGCCATCGGCGTGAAGACTTCTCCGCCACAAGAAGACGGCGCACCCGCCAAAACAGCAGGAGCAGGAGCAGTCGCGAGCCATCGGAACCCCGGGCAACTACTGTGGTACTACGCAGCTACTCCACAGTGCAGGCCCACACGATGGAAGAGGACCGGTGGCACTATCGAAGAGAGCACACACCACCAACAAGACGACTGCAAAGATTGCCGACTCCCCCAGCCGTTCCGCAGCAGCACCACCGCAGACAAGACGACAACCCCCGCAGTCTAGTCTCACAGTTTCAGCGGGTGGCTCAGCAGATTAGGGGACAAGCCACATCCTCCCACCAACAAGCACCGTCCCCTCCCTCCTCTGCCCCACGACCGCATACTACGGCTGACCGGGATCCATCTTCGATGATTTTTCAGCCACAACAAAGCCTCGAACAATTGGGCAAACACAGCAGACCCCCACAAGTGGATATCATCCCGTTGTCGGAGCTTTTCGACAGCGAAAAGCCAACTCCTCATGCTGTCGATGTCGAAGAAGCTCAAAAATTGGCGCAAACTTTGGGTGAGATTGCAGCGGAAACCAACATCAAGCACAGCA